GAAATGCAAATCAAAACCACAATGAGGAACCATCTTACACCAGTTAGAATGGCGATCATTAAAAAAGTCAGGAAACACAGGTGCTGGAGGAGGTTGTGGAGAAATAGGAACACTTTTACACTGTTGGTGGGATTGTAAACTAGTTCCAACCATTATGGAAAACAGTATGGCGGTCCTCAAGGATCTAGAACTAGATGTACCATATGACCCAGCCATCCCATTACTGGGTATATACCCAAAGGATATATAAATCATGCTGCTATAAAGACACCATGCACACGTATGTTTATTGCGGCACTATTCACACTAGCAAAGACTTGGAATCAACCCAAATGTCCATCAGTGACAGACTGGATTAAGAAAATGTGGCACATATACACCATGGAATACTATGCCGCCATAAAAAAGGATGAATTTGTGTCCTTTGTAGGACATGGATGCAGCTGGAAACCATCATTCTTAGCAAACTATCACAAGAACAGAAAACAAACACCGCATGTTCTAACTCATAGGTGTGGAACTGAACAATGAGATCACTTGGACTCGGGAAGGGGAACATCACACACCGGGCCTATCATGGAGGGGGAAGCGGGAGGATTGCAATTGGGAGTTAACCTGATGTAAATGACGGGTTGATGGGTGCTGACGATTGATGGGTGCAGCACACCAACATGGCACAAGTATACATATGTAACAAACCTGTGCACGTTATGCACATGTACCCTAGAACTTAAATATAATAATAACAATTAATTAATTTTTAAAAAAGCTTTCTATATAGATTTGGACATTAATGCAAATCTTCAACTTTTGTTCAGTGTATGTTAAGTTCTATACTTTTTGTGGTAATTTTTTATTCTATATGCCTCATAATGTTATTAATAAAAATCAGCTCTTCCAGTTTTAACCCACTCAAAGTAACTTAACCCTTTTTTCTCCATAAAGAGCTATTATATTTTAAAAATCATCATTTTTGCAAGGACATTAATAATTAAATATTTAGGAAAGAATATATCAGAGAATATCTAAACTTGGTCCTGAATTCATGAACCAGGGTATACCATGTTAGCACACTTGATCTTTTTATGCTTTTTATCTGTTTACTACTACAAAAGAACTTATCTTCAATTCAGATTTTAAGCTCACATGGCTTGCAGTAGTTCTAAAAAAAGTTCTGCTAAAAATTGGTATCTTCAGTATTTTTGCAAACATCAAGTAATGCAAATAACTTTTGAAAGTATTGGTATAGCTTTCTTTCCAAAATAGGTACATTTTTGAAGTTGCAAGAAAAGCCAGTAACATCCTAATATTTTAAATAAATGATTCCCTTATATTCATGGCAAGGGGTTGAGGAGCAGAGACTGGAGTCAGTAATCCTTGATAGGCCCACCCATGCCTAACATCATATGTCTGTAGTGTGATCAAGAAAATGTAGCTGAGCCACTTCAAAGACCATCAGTAATAAAAATATGTTCTCATTATTTATAACCACTACGAATATCTTGAATGGTTATTGTATGCCACATACTGGTCGAAGGGCTTTACAGGTATGGCTCATTCACTCATGGATTTATTCAACTATTTATTGTTCAACAGCTGTGAGCGAAGTACTGTTTTTGTCACAGGGCAGGATGTCTCTGCCCACGTTGAACTTATATTCTCCTGGAAGTCTAATAAATGAACAAAAACATAATATCTTAAGTACTATAGACCTTATTGTATTGATACTAAGGAAATGAAATATGGTGGAGGAGTCTAAGGTACCAGTCAGATAAAGATGCCAGGTAAGACCACCCTTGATGGGGTAAACAGACACCTAAATGAAGCAAAAGAAAAAGTCATGCAAAGACTTCCTAGGCAAAAGCCTGCTTAAATAGGAATAAAGGCAAGTGCAAGATCTCAGAGGTCAGAATAAGCTGGGTCACTTACAGAGTGTCAAGAAGACCACTGTGGCCAGAGCAAGGTGAAGAAATAAGAAAGGTAAGAGATGAGACAGGACCAAATCATATAAGGTACTCTAATCTATGGTAAGAAGTTCAGATTTCAGAATATTTAATCCAGAGAGCAATCGTATGATATTATTGTCCACATTTAACACGTGAAAAAATGAGGCTTAGAGTCAATAAACTTACCCAAGTTCATACATCTAGTAACTAATATAGAAGAATTCAAACCCTTTCATTTGATCTGAATCCAAATCCAGTGTCCCTTTACTAGTCTGGTATTTTAATAAATATCCTAGATTCAGTGGTCCCAAATCAAATGCTCTCAATAGTTAAAAGAAAACAGACGAATGCATATTTGAAATTTGAAACTGGACTTCTATACACAAAGGAGAGAGGGATACTACATATATACTATATTATATAATGTTGAATACATCCAACATTGTGGTTTAGAATGGGAATTTTTAATACTTTTGGATGATTCAGCATTTGAAACTCAGAATTAATGGAGGCAGCAAATTGTTAAAAACAAAGCAGTTGAATAGCATCAGATACAACAAATGAAATGCAATGAGCTCAAAATGAACTTCCTAACTAAAACTTAAATCACTCTAGTAGTAATCTATTAAAAAAAATTTCTGGAGCAAATACTACACTGTTAATATAAAGCAGAATAGTGTTATTACCTTATGTAATTAATGTGTCTGCTACTTAAAAAATCGGGGCATTCATATTTTTATGTAGAGTTTGATATACTTTGGTCTATAAATGAAATGATAATGAAGGAGTATTCTGAGGAAATAGTCTGTTATAACTTGAATGATAAGCTGGCAGTCTAAATGGTCCTATTATAAGTAAAAGTTATCCACTAAAAGGGCCATTAGAGAACATTTAGGATGAGATGAAAAAATGTTCTACTTTGAAGACAAAATGTAAAATGTAGATATTTTGGAATTTTATTCAGAGCTAAAATTGCCTACAAATTTTCATTAATGAACTATATCATTTGAAAACACTCCTTTTTAAATGTGAATTAAATTTTTTCTCTTATGAAATAAGACGTTAATAGCCTTATGTGTCATTTTTATGGGTATCTCTTTGGTGTAGTTATCAGGGCATTTACAATTAATGTTTAAAATGGAAACCATGATTTCAAAAAATGCATTCTGAGAAAAAAATATATTTAAATTGAGTTATAACTATGGCTGTCCCTAGGTGGTTTTTATTAAAGTGAAACAATAATTAAAAGATGTTGAATAGATATTGCTTATTTTTTGCCCAGAAATGAGTTGTTAGAGATTTGTTCAAGTACTGTCATCTCCTATTATAATTCATATTTAATGCACAATAATATTCCTTTGAAAATAATGAATATGTCCTGAAACAGTTCTTCTGCCATTGCATCTTTGAATCTTTAGTCTCTGGTTAGAATAACACATTACTGTAATTCCTCCCCATCTTAGGTATAGTTTTAGTGAAGAGGTAGTTAAAGCCACATCACACATAATTTGAATGAAATGAATGGATAAATTCATAATTGTTCCACGACTATAACAATAACTGTTTAAAATGAGTTCTTGAACAGTAGGGTTGTTCTTACTCTGATCCTATTTTTCCCCAAAGAAAAAAGTGAAATATTTTTGATAGGACAGGAATTTACAAAGACCCAGTATTTCTGCTATTCCTAAGATTAAAATATTCCCTTTGGCTCAGTTACTTATACATAAAATCAGAGACATGATATACACCTCCGTTGTCAACATTTTAGGGCAGGGCTGTTCTCACTCATCTTCATGTCTTCAGTGCTACTCAAGAACCTTACGTATAATGAAAGAATGAATGAGTGAAGAAGTGAAAGAAGGATTGAAATAATTTCACAATTATCTTAAGATTAGAGCTCAGATACTTATGTTGGAAGTTATTTGTTCTACCCTTAATGGTATTAAGTATATAACCACACCGTTTCATTTCTTCAGCTATAATGTCAGCCTTGTAGATCAGTCGTTAGTTTTTTAGAATGTCCCGACTAATCTTTCCCTCAAACTATGTAGATTTTTTGTGATGATGGCAAAATAAGGATAAAGTTACATCAAGTTATATGCAAGCTGTGAATGATTACTGCCTGTAAGTGACAAGTGGTATCTGAAGCCTTTAAAAACATCTGTTCTCATTGAGATTGTGTAATGTTTTCCTATTTCTGTATTGAGGTTTCTTCTCTATAAACTGCCTCTAACACCGTATCTGGTATATGATATGCATTGTCTTTTATTCTTTGGGGTTGCTTTTTTTTTTTTTTCTTGTTATAGTAATTCTTGCCTTTAAACTATAAACTCCTGAAAGGCATGAATTTTCCAAAGTTTTTGTAACGTCCAAAACTTCTAACGTTGTAAATATTAATTACACTGAATCAAAGATGACTTTTCTTCTGCATATTTTGTTTTGCCTTGAGTGTAGGTACTGCGTAAATAATATTTGGAGGTACTAAAAGGAATGGTCATAAAATTCCCTAAAAAACGCTAAAATGTTAAATGGGTGTTCTTACTGTTTATTTTTGAGTGCCTCGTTTGGAACACTAACCATTAAATTCCAAATTAGTATAGATGTGCATAGTACCAACATTAGTAATTGCAGATTCTTGGAGGTTTTATGGACAGTAGCTTATACAACAGATTTCTTGCACTATTATGATATCCTTTGGTAGATAGGCTTCAGGGTCTTTAATAATTACAAGTCTGAACAATCATTGTATAACATACTATTTTTAAAATTAGGAAGATTTCCTTATCTGCCTTTTTTTTTTTTTTTTTGGTAGCTGTAAATCATTTTTGGTTTTGAAAATAGAAAACCTTATTTGAGGGGGACATATAGTTTCTTCCTGTCATATATATATATACACAGCTCACTAAATAAAAAGCAATGACACATTTACTGGCAACATAAACAGCCCACCCCCATCTATAGCTGAAAATAAATGGTATATCAGTTATTTAAAATTCATTAACTTGGAATTGTGAGTCTTACCCAAGTAAATTTTCCCTTTATAACTTTTGGCAGGAAGAAGCACTGCATGGGTTTCGAGTGAGTGAGTATTTTGAATACATGGAGATTTTGGAACAAAACTACCGAACAGTGCTGCTGAGAGACATGCGGAACATTAGACTGCAGAGCACATAGATCATGAGGCACACAGTTTAAATTTATGTTTTGTTTATTTTTAAAGGCAACAGGGGGGCTTGTTTTCTGTGTCTGTAACAACATATACTTTGTGAATATACATATTGTAAATACTGAGAGGTTTTGAATATAATGATATATGTAAGTAGGTATGAGCTCAATTTGTGAATTCATTTTTGTAAGTTTGTTGTTTTGTAAGGTTATTATAGAATCAGATCTAGCTTACTTACAGTTCTTATTCATATTTAAGAGTCAGTCCTGGCCGTGCGCAGTGGCTCATGCCTGTAATCCCATCATGAGGTGGGCGGATCACGATGTCAAGAGATCGAGACCATCCTGGCCAACATGGTGAAACCTCGTCTCTGCTAAAAATACAAAAATTAGCTGGGTGTGGTGGTGTCCGTGTAGTCCCAGCTGCTCAGGAGGCTGAGGCAGGAGAATCGCTTGAACCCGGGAAGCAGAGGTTGCAGTGAGCCAAGATCATGCCACTGTATTCCAGCCTGGTGACAGAGTGAGACTCCGTCTCAAAAAAAAAAAAAAAAAAAAAGGCCAACCTACATCTCCTTCTTGATTCAGATGATTAAAATATTTTTTCCAGTGAGTTTGGAAAGGAGAAGTAATAGTGTAAATAATATTTTGACTAGCTGCAGAAAGCCCATAAGACAGGAAAAGACAGTATTTCTTGCATTCTTTATGTCTGTACATATAAAGGAAAACAGACAAAACCACAACTGCTTCTTTTACATGTGAAAGAACAATGATATTATTTATCCATGGCAAGTGGTAGAAAGACTGTTGTCCTTTTACATAATTGTTTTTTAGGAGTTGCTTTTGATACCTATATCAATTTATAATTCTTTGTTTGAAATGAAGTCTTTACATGGTTCATTGAAGAGACAGATTGGTTATTTCATACTGATAAGCATTCTACTCCTATTTGTTATGCATTTTCCTTAGTGATAGATTTTACTTGTACTGAACCTGAAAATATCAAGGAGAATACATTTGTAAATTATTTCAAATGGCCAACACTGTGATTTGTTTTATTTAAATAGAAGTCTCTGTACCAGTAAGATTAATACAGTATGTGAATGTCTATTTTTTATATCATAACTCACAATGAATATATGAAAGATAATACATGAATATATTACATTATTCATTTTTAGACATAAGTTTATTTCAAGAAGTTTTTCTAATTGTAGCTGTTGTTTTTTATTCTTTCCTTGTATCTAAATATAAATCAACCATTAAAATCGTTCTAACTTTAACCTTGCTTTTTTTTTTCCTTTTCAACTAAAAGTGGATCATTCACAAACTAAGTTTTTCATTCAGCATGATCAAATAACTGGTACTATACAGTTTTCAATTTAGTAATATGTAGGCCATTGCAATATCAGCCTTCCAAAATCAAGTTTTATGCTGTAAATGCCAACAATAGCTTCTCAGTAATAGTGTTCCTAAAGGGCATTGTAAAGTTGAGAAAAGTAATTTGAGCAAGTTAATTTGACATATTGCACACTTTCACTTTGGCCGATGTGAGTTAAAAGAGAGTCATAGATGACTCAGAATACCAAACTTTGTCTACTTTCAAACTTAATTTTGAAAAGCTGTTCCATGGAAGCTGTAATACATGTTTATGGTTCCATTTCTTCCCATTCTTTCCCTGGGTTATTGTTATGGGTCCTAAGAATCGTGCAGCTTTATTTCTTTTTATAATTGCATACACAGTAGTTGAAAATACAAATGGAGAAGAATGAACTGTAATTTAATTTTATATTGTCCATTGGTGATTTTCATTGGAAACTGAGGTAAGATCTAAATTCTAACAATTGCATTTTGGAAAAAAAAATAACTTCAGGTAGAGCTAGAAGGTTTTCATCTTCATTTGACATATAAGTGTCTTATGAACAATGACCTAGCAGTTTGTTTGGTGAAAGAAAATTTAAAATATAATAGGTTGTGTAGCTGTCATTATGAGTTATTTTTATGCTTATTTTTAGAGTACCCTTTAGCAGTCATACCCTGTCATGCCCCTTGGTTTTATTTTTAATTATTTAAAATGTAAGTCCTTAGACTTTATTTCTAATTTGTGGAGGGGTAACTCATACATTTTATAGGATTCAATTACAATAAAATATATATTATGGTATAATGTAAAAAGGTTTATGAAAAAATTAAAATATAAAAATATTTGAATATCTGCTTTCAAGATTTCAGATTTGTAGTTCTATCCCCTCATAATACTCTCCTAAAGTATCTCTGGAGGTAAAATAAGCCTCAGAAATTCATCTGAACTTTCAAACAAGGTTCTACATAAATTTGCCATTAGTAAATAGTGATGCGCTCTTGTTTGAATTTCCAATTTTCAGATATTAAATTTTGTTGTTTATTCATTAAGCAGATATGTTTTAAGGGTTACACATATAATGAAATATTTTAAATATTCAAGATAGCACAATAAATGATATACAGCATCTCATAGAGTTCACAGTCAGCATGGGGAGATGAATTTTAAAACCATGGAAAAGTAGTGTTAAAGATGACAAAAGAGAATTGACCTCCGGATGTGATGACCTTGATAAGAGTAGTTCTGATTAAGTAAGTGCGGGCGAAAGTTTGATTGGATTGGGTTTAAATGATGCTGAGAGGAGAGATTTTAGAAACTGCTCTTCCTAGGAATATTGCTGTAATGGGTGAAATAGGAATGGCAGCTAATGCAGACTAGGACCAAAAGGTACTTTTTGTTTGTTTGTTTTTGTGCATGTGTTTTGTTTTTGAAATACAAAATGGAAACATGTTTTTATTTGGATGGAAATGATGCAGTAGAGAAGGAAAAATTGATGGTAGAGAGCAAGAGCTGGAGTAAATGTCATGAATAGATGTAAGGGGAATGGGATTTAATGAATAAGTAGTGGAATTAGCCTTTGCTAGGAGCATGGACACTACATTTAAAGTAACAGAAGAGGAAACAGAATAAATGGGCACAGACATAGGGTAGGCATTTGTGGAATTCTTTTTTTTCTCAGTGATGTAGGAAACAAGGTCATCTACTGAAAATTAGAATAGTAAAAACTTTGGTAGTTTTCAGGAGATGAGAGTAGGTGAAATAATTGCCAAAGAGTGAATGGAATAGGAAAGTAAGTGTTATTGTGATTTACTGATCATGAGATGAGTTAGCAAAGTTTTATGTTTTTCTCCAGCTACCTTACACTGTGCATAGGTTGGCAAGGAGTAAGTGGTGAGTTGGGTTTAACTAGGGTTTTGCTTTAGCCAAGAGAATACACTAAGCAAGGAAGGGCACAAGGGAGTTGATGTTATATGCAAGTTTTTATAATACTGTGACTGTAGTATTTAAGCTGGATCAAAAGGGAAGTGGAGACAAGAGGGTGGATATGTATGATACAGTGAAAAGTTGATAGGATCAATTGATTGTTGGTTCTTATGTATTGAAAGATTATTTGATTTGGAATCCTCCAGAGAGGAAGGTGAAATGATTAGACCTAACAGTTACTAAGTAAAATACTTAAAATTGAGATTTTAGAAAGGGTTGACCATGAGAATGAACAACTAGAGGAAAGAAGAGAGATGAGATTATGTGAATAAAGGAAGTCAAGGAGCTGAGGTTTTGGTTTTGGAAGAATTATCTTTTTGGATACTGGAGTTACCAAAATTGTGACAAGGAATTATTTTGAATAGCTTGAAAATGAGCCAAAAGCTCACATCTTCAAGGGTTGGTCTAGAAAGAAAAAAATGACAAGAGGACATCTGAGATGCAAAAATAGATGGAAACAGGGCCGGGCGCGGTGGCTCACGCCTGTAATCCCTGCACTTTGGGAAGCCGAGGCGGGCAGATCACGAGGTCAGGAGATCGAGACCATCCTGGCTAACACGGTGAAACCCTGTCTCCACTAAAAATACAAAAAAATTAGCCGGGCGCAGTGGTGGGCGCCTGTAGTCCCAGCTACTCGGGAGGCTGAGGCAGGAGAATGGCGTGAACCCGGGAGGCGGAGCTTGCAGTGAGCCGAGATCGCGCCACTGCACTCCAGCCTCGGGGACAGAGTGAGACTCTGCCTAAAAAAAAAAAAAAAAAAAAAAAAAAAAAAAAAATAGGTGGAAACCAAAGGCAATGGTACATAATCATTATTTTAAAGTAGTATCTAATTTGTTAATAAAACATATCTAATTTATTTGAGGCCTTTGATTAGTCTGGCACTTCTTACACATAAAGTATGTCACAAAAGAAAAAATTGTTACATTTCATGTACTTCGTTAAAATAAAAAAGCCCTCAAAATATACTCTCAAATAAATGAAAAAAGCTTTAAGAGAATAGATTTGCAGAACATATCTAGTAAAAAACCTTGTGTTCAGAATATATGAAATTTCTAACCACTCAACAGTAAGAGAATGAACAAACAACAAAATAGAAAATATCTGGATACTTCACCAAAGAAAATATACACAATTGACAAGCACACAAAAAGACACTTATCACCATTAGTTTTAGAGAAATGCAAATTAAATCCACAAGGAGATAACCACTACACACTCACTAAAATGTCTAAAACTAAAATACATATAAAACAAAAACCTAATTTAAACAACTAGCAAGAGGTGGAGCAATTGGAACACATGGTCTCTTATAGGAACAGGAAATACAATAGCCATTTTGGAAGCTGAGTTTTTCGTTTTTTTGGCGGGGGGAGGGCAGTATGGGGGGTTTGTTGTTGTTGTTTGAGTTAAACACTTAGTATCAGAGAGGGCTCAGTAATAACCCCTCTAGGTATTTACCCAGAAGAAAATATGTCTCCATACAAAGATTTAAATGTGATTAATAATTTCAGCTTTATTCCTAATAGCCCAAACTGGAAACCAACCTAAGTTTCTCTCAACTGACGAATGGATAAATTGTGGTTCAGTCATAAAATGGACAACAATTTAGCAATAAATATAGCCAGCTAGCTACCGATGCACACAAAATCGTGGACAAATCTGAAAAGCATGATGGTGAGTGAAATACGCTAGGCACAAAAGAGTACATGCTATATGATGTCATGTATATGCAATTCTAGAAAAGGCAAATCTAGAAATTCTATTAAAGGCAGAAAGAATATCTGTGGTTTCCAGGGGCCAGCAGGTGAGGAAAGAGGATTGACTTCATAGAAGAAAGGACCTGTATATTGTAATTGTAGTGATAGCTACATGACTGGATACATTTTTAAAAACATTTTGACATGTATGCTTAAAATGGGTGAATTTTATTATATGTAAATTCCACCTCAGTAAAGCTAACTTTACCAAAAAAAGGATAAATACTACAAATAAAAACTGACAGTTTATCCTAATGAGTTTAACATTAGTAATTATGTTAGCTGTAGGTTTCCCAGGGATGCCATAACCAGGTAGAGGAAGATCCCTTCTAGTCCTATTTTGGTGTGAGTTTTTTTTTTTTTTTTTTTTTTTTAAGAATACATTTTGTATTTGGAAGTGATTTATCAAATACTTTATATAAAAATGATCATGTTTTTTCCCTTTTTTCTGCCAATATATTGACATATTGATTTTTGAATGCTCAACCAACCTTGCTTTCCTAAAATTTAACTCTACCTGGTCATGATTTTATCATTTTTACATATTGTCAGATTTGATTTATAAAAATTTTGTTCAGAATTTTTGTATCTATGTTCATGAAGGATTTTTTTAAAAGTTTAAAAAATCTTTTAACTGTACAAGTACAGGTTTGTTACATAGGTAAACTTGTGTCATGGGAGCTTGTACAGATTATTTCATCATCCAGGTATTAAGCTTGGTACCCATTAGTTATTTTTCCTAATCCCCTCCCTGCTCCTACACTCCCACCCTCCAAAAGGCCCCAGTATGTGTTGTTCCTCTCTGTGCCCATGTGTTCTCATCATGAAGGATATTTATCTGTAGTTTTCTTTTTTTGGCTTTGGTAGCAGAATGATGCTGGCTTTATAAATGAATTTTGAAGTGCTCTTTCATCTATTTTGTGGAAGAGTTTGTGTATAAAATGGTATTTTTTTCTAAATGTTTGATGGAATTCCCCAGTGAAACCTTTGTGATAAGCTTAACTAAAAATTCAATTTATTTCATAGCTATCTATCTATTCAAATGATTTCTTCTTAAGAGAGTTTTGGTAGTTTGTTTCATTTAAGGGATTTCTCCATTTATTCTAAATTGTCAAATTATTGACGTCGTTATTCATAATAGTTCCTTATCCTTTTTAATATCTGTAATTTGTGTTG